TCATCCTCCAACAAGCATAAGTCTGCTTACAGCATGTAATCAAAAACCGAAGTAGTTACAGTGCCTCGAGGTTGGAAAAGGTAAAACTCCGAACTAAGTTGTTGAAGGGATTAGCCCTGTAGGCGCAGCTGAGCTAGCTCCTAATAGGTTAGACTGTCTCTGCTTATTATCCCGCTTGCCATGAAGTATGGTCCAATCGTCTTCTTCTAACAATCGCTTTGAGAAACACCTTTCAATGACACTTTTGGCAGCCTGACCAACACAATCCCCGAAACTCTCAGGCGCGTGGTGGCTGAGGCGGAACAGTGGAAGGGAGATTGTTGAAGTTTTTCTTTTGTAATGCGGGATTTCGCGGGAAAGTTTTTGTTTTGTTTTCAATTCTGGGCTGCCGAATTCGTCATGGTTCAACACATAGATGCATTTTGGCATGGTTCCGGTCATTTAGGTGGGACGAGGCATTTGTACTGCACGGTAGTTAACCTGATCCGGCCCGACCCCACTCGTGCTCAAGCTCCAGTAAGAGTACGACGATAGTTACTTCACCTAGCACGTTAATGAACAAAAAACGCACAATTCGAGAAATTCAAAAATTCCCTATATCCCTTTTCCCTTCTCATGATTATTCCTATGCTTGAGTTCTTGAATTGATGACTATCGAAAGGCGTCCCAAAATGCCTCCGATGAAGAGCAAACGACCAAAGTCGACCTTTTCTGTCGGCTTTGAACGGACACACATGTGTCCAAAACCTCCTGGCCTCGCGCAAAAATTATCAAGCTTGTTTGCGAGTGAGGCCTTTGTCCCAGGGAAGTTTTCCACCCTTCCCGACCAAGAGATGACTGATTTTGACCCGATCAGAACAGAAACGAACAGCCAACAGACCGCGAAACCCGCCGAGCTGGCCCTCGAGGCAAGCAGCTCCAGGAAAGGAAAGGAGATCGTCAGAGAAAGGACGATCGAACGTGCAGAATTGCCTGCCGGAAAAAATGCTGTGCCAGCCTCAAAAGGCGCAGCATCGACATCAGCTATGGAGTTTCCTCCGGAGCTGCAAACCGTGATGGAGGCCGAAAAGCGACGTACGACGCAAATTACGGCCCGCCTCGCCATCTGCTCGACTGCGATAAACAGTGTTAAAGCAGCACTTTCGCCTCTTTCGATCGGCGAAAATAAAGAATTCGTAGACGGTATAAAAGTCTACCTACGAGCAGCTATTGGCCAGTTCGTTCAATCCGGTGCAGGAAGCACACCACCAGTCCTTCCTGCCCGCCCCGCCAACCCTCTCTCACCGAGGGCTCCAGAAATTAGGGCACCTAACTCTACGAAAACCCAGGCTCCGGCCCCAAAGACAACTTGGGCCACCGTAGCTCGGGCAGGCCTAGTCAGTAGCGCTGGGCCATCGACAAAAAAGGCAGCACCGCCCGCCCAGAAAGCAAAAAGTGCCAACTCGAGTGGAAAAGCCGATTCACGACTTTTTCTGCGCCTTGAATATTTCCATTCCCACCGTCTCCTTTCTCCAGCTGGAGTAAGGCTAGCGGTGTCTCAGGTGCTGGGAACCGCTGCCAACAATATCACGTTGGTTCAGCGGGTAAAGACCGGCTTTGCAATAACCGCAAAGGATGAACTCGCTCGAACAGAGCTCCTAGATTCCTCCACATCACGGAGCGAATCTGGAATCAAACTGGAACCAGCATCAAATCTGGTTGCCATGCAAATTGCCACCGTCCCGGAGACAATTCGAACTCTTGCTGGCCCAATCGCCGTGACGGCAAAGATGGTTGCCAACGAAGTCACGCGAGTGACCCAGTTGGTTCCCTTTCTGGTTCGTCCTCACGGGACTAGCAAACCAGGAGCGCCCTACTCAAATTGGCAAGCGCTATTTCCCGAGAATTCGCTCCTCGACCTGGATTCCGCCTTTTCGACGACTCTGGAGCTGCAAAGCTCTTCCGACCTCGTCGCAAAATCGAACAATGCAAACGGTGTCTTGAATTTCACGCCACCTGTGGTTGTTCCCGCGCTCCAGCTTGCTGGAAATGCGGATCTAATATGCACTCAGAATCAGAGTGCAAAGCCCTCACCCGGTGTCGAAACTGTGGGGGACCTCACCGATCGGATTCCCAGGCCTGCTTAGCCAGACCCAGCAAGTCCGGACCGGTGACAAAAGAGCAGCTCGCGCGGATCCGCCAGATCCAGCAAGGGGAGTTTGCGAAAGTGGCTCGATTTAGGGCTGCAGCCAAAAGGGCCGAAGAGGCAACGATGGCCTCAACGAAGGATGTCTCGATGGCCGAGGGATCGGGTTTCGGAATCCTGGGATCCGAAGAAGAAATATGAGGGTACAGCAACCCTCGGTGAAGTCTACAAAAAGCTTCAATATATATAGCAGGATACCAGCTGAATTCAGGGTATCTGCGAACTAGTCTTTCGGTCCCAGCGGAGATAAGAAAAAGTCACCTGGAAGATGAGGCAGGAAAGGGAACGGGCGAGAAGCGCGGGATCCGGACCAAACAGTATTTCTTCCAAATTTGATTTCAGTTTTTGATTTATGTTTTTGATTTTAGTTTTGCTGTTAACTTCTACAATTTCAGTAGAAGTTCATGCGGTTGGAATGAGTTGGGCCTGTACGCAGTGATCCTTGCCGGCTCCACCGGTCCTTGACCCAATGTGGAAAAGATAGCGTTAGCTTAGGACCAAAAGTAAAAAAACAAACAATCCCCGAAACTTAACATCATTATCAATTCATCCTCACTTTTTGCAAACAATGTCTCTCCAAAAGTCTGCTTTAGAAACTAAATTTCGCAAGTATCTAACTCGCAATCAATGTATTGAAATAAGAGCATTAAGAAGACTTGGCTTGACACTTCAAAATATATCCGACAAACTTGGCTTCACAACAAGACAAGTACAACTTGCGTGTGCTCGAGAGAGTGAGAATTCTATGTCTCGTAAAGGACCCTTACCACAATTAAGCGCGGAACAAGTTGATGAGCTTGAGGCTTTCGTCCGGGAGTCTCCTGAAAATCAACAGATGTGCTATAGGAACTAGTAATGGGGCCCTTCAGCCACTTGAGATGCAGTGAACGTTTAATTTCTAACGCGCTGGAAAAAAAGAGGTTACAGCAGATGCATTGCTCGGAAGAAGCCTCCGTTAAGCGCGGTGAACAAGCAGAAAAGATTGGAGTTCGCTCAATTACATCTAGATTGGAGCGATGAACAATGGAGTCGAACTATAGACTGATGAAACCTGGGTATTGGGTGATTCTCATATGTAACCTCGTGTCACAGGAAAAGCACGTATAACTTCTATCAAAATCTTTCTTGTACTGACAGCAGAGTTTAGCCTGGTGATGAGTTTGATGAGATTTGTATCGTGGCTCGCCATGCTCATGGGAACAGCTGGATGTTTTGGGGATCATTTTACTGATCACAAAAAGGCCCATCCCTAGTCTGGGAGAAGGATTGGGGATCAATGAGGGCCTCATCCTTTTGTGAAAAGATTTTGTCACTTTTGAATCAATTTCACTCGGAAAATCCAGAAATTCTATACATGCACGACAACGCACCATGTCTTAAAGCGTACTCAACAATTGAGGCGCTGCGTGAAGTTGGAACAACGCCTATTAGATGGCCACCTTACTCTCCGGACCTGAACCCGATCGAGTCATTGTGGAATATCTTAAAAAACCACATTCAGGTAAATAAGTCCTGAGATAAATGGGTCAGGCTCGCTCGCTCTGCCACGTTAAGAACATTGCTACAGGCCGCATGAGACTCTATACCTTCTGAGGAGCTATTTTCACTATTTGGCAGCATGCACGAAAGATGTGTAGCAGTGATAAAGGCAAATTGAGGGTACACAAAGTATTAGGATTGAGAAGACACAAAACATGCAGTACGCTTTCATTTTAGTTGCGAGCCATATTGAGGGCTTCGATGTAGACTTGTGTAATACAGAGCAATAATTTTTGAAATAGATGTGCATTTTTCGAGAATATCAACTGACTTTTTTCAATTTCGAATTTCAACTGTGGACCATTGTACTTTTCCCATTGAGTTCAAAACCATCCCCATAATTTAGACTTTCACAGATTATTATTGGATAGTACCCCTGCTTGTATAACTAGTCGAGTATCTAGACATGGGCCCGCATGAAGATCATGTCAATTTATGCAATTTGTACAGGGATCTAACCCCAGTCATTTTGACAATTTTACCTTTGCCATCCATAAGAGACTATAGCCTTTCACCCCTGATTGTGCAAGGTCAAAGCAGGACGTAGTGTGACCATACCCCAGTCTGATCCTGGTATCCTTGATACAATTGACACTCGCTCGGGGAATTACATCCCTCGCCTTTAGAATAAACCCGTCGAGTAAGAAAGACCATTCTGCCTTGATACGTTACTAGAAGAATTTAGATGATGTAATAGGGTGCACATTGAACGTGGCAGTGAAGGGAGAGATTTGTTCAGCACATGGGGGAAGTTGTGGTTTGAAAATCATTAGGAACCTTTTTAGGATATTCTGGAGCAGTTGTTGCAGTCATGATTAATACAAACGATATGTATTGAAAGCCATAATTAATGCGCGCTGGAAAATCCTGAGGCCTTGTTCTTAACATACATATGCCCATTATAGCAAGATGAGGATAGACGATGTTCATTGTATCCACCGCAAGCTGCATTTATAGACGCTAGCAAAATTCAATAATTTTTCCCGACCTTAATTTATTTCTCTTCAGAGGTTTTGGGTATGAGTTACTATTATGAGTTTTGTCTTTCTATCTGATTGAAAGTAGCTGCAAACTACCTCAAAGTATTTCATGTGTATTTTTCTGGCCACGGTTAGTTAGTGGTGACGAATGGGCTCCATGTTAGCAGGACGTGATTGGCAAGTTATGTGCAGTATCTGTTTCTCTATTGCTGATGAGTAGGTTTGTAGTAATTGGAATTTGGCTATCTATTTCATGGGTCGAGGGTAGAATTTTGTAAATTGTAGCTACTTAATTCTTATTTGTGCGATACAGTGACAGTAGACCCGGATGCTGAGGAAGATGTGAGCACATTCCGACCTTGTTGAATATCTAGAATCTGTGCTCCGGTCGTATCAACTTGCTTTCCAGCTGAAGTTGTCGCCATAGAATTAGTGAAAGAAACCGTCCCAAAGTTAGTCAAAGGTACGAGAGCTCCGTCTTGCTGAAAATCTTCGATGATCCATTCGGCATTCTGGCCTGCTAGGTTACTGTTCGATGTTGGAGCAGTGAGAGCTTTAGTCACTTTTTGACGGGTTGTTACATTCTCAATTATGGCTGTACCGGCGCTAGAGCTACTAGCAGCCACAGATATATTAATAACATCTCCAGGCGACATTTTAAAATCGGTAAAATCGTATGCGTAATCTGGATACCATTCATACCATGCCTTGTAGGCAAGAACACCATTTATCACCATAAAGTCTATGCCAGTCTGAAGTATAGCTGCGGCATATGTATCGCCGTCAATCCCTACCCAGGCTGAAGCGGCACCATTAACTTTTGGGGCTGGAATTGTAAAGCGAGCGGAAACTGCTGTAAATGTGCTTCCGGCAGGCGGTGTTGTAAGAATTGCTCCTGCCCAGTTTGAAGATAAAGTCGAGTGGCTGCTATTACCATTCAATACCTCTACTATTGACGAGTCAAGTCGATTAGAAGGCGTACTGTTTCGTAGGCGCGGAATTATAGGCAGCGACACTCTTGAACAAGCACTAGAAAAGAGTGTCGCGTAAGTTATTACGTTTTTTATCTTCATTTTATATAAAAATCATATACAAACAGAGAAATCGACAAAAAATGACTGTGGGCGCAATATGTGTCGCACAAATTAGAGAATGCTTGTTGATGAGGGGAAAAGCCATTGAAGAGCATCGTCTTGACCAATTGACGGGGGTCTGAAGCTGTCTTTAAAGAGCTCCTTAGCTACATTACTACCCTGGAGCTCGGAGCAGGGAACAACTGCCATATTATCTGAAGTTTTGATACGATTGTAGAGCGATCTGGGGAGGTCGGTTACGATTGCCGGTGCCTGTTCCCAGAGACACAACCCCAACTGGGCGACTGCAATATATTCTAGCTCCCGTGAGTTTGACAGACGACATATCTCAGTCTGCCGGTAACTATGGTGAAGGTCGCCTGACCCCGTACATATTTTATCACCGAAAGCTCCTTGTGCTGTGCTACATTAATAGAAAGCTCTGAGGCAGTAGTAACTGCATGGTCGATCTTAAGGGTGACGATGAGACAGCGAAGACGATCTGTATCTAGCCGAAAAAAATCAACTACCAATAAAACATGGCACAGGGAGTGGAGTCCAGACACCTTACTGAAGAGGGGTGGGATATGCCTGCTCAATTGATTGTGCTCATGGTTCAATGATAATGTGATCATATGAGTTCTAGTGTGAAGGAGCAGTATGACCCATCGTGCGCATCGGGCTCCAATGGTCATTCGATAATCTGGCAAGAACGTGGTTTCCGCAAGTTGAAGCTTTGGGAAAACATTTTACAATCATGTCGGTGTTTTTGATAGACGAAATAAGTCTTAGATAGGTCAGCGTGCATTGCTGTTGTTGCATTTTGTCTTAACTTTAGGTGGTACTTGCAATCAGCGTCTACTTCCACTTCTGGCATCTATTGTGCTCAACAGCTGATTAGATTTAATATTTTGGCAGCTCACCTTGGTTCAAGCCTTTCTTGTTTAATATAATTTATTTGTATCAATCTAGTAGTTACAAACTGTCAGTGAACTATGAAAAGGCTAATCAAATATTTTGACTCAGGAGGTTCCTATGTACTGTATTTCGTTGCTAAGTGCTTCTAGGCAAGATACTTTTTCACTCAATTCTGCCATTTTTGTTGATGGGTGTCTATCGAGTAATTATTTCCGGCTTCATACCCATCCCAGCGTGCCATTAAGTGTCCAGCCATAAACACCGAGTAAAATGTGGCCAAGGCTTGTTCGTGTTGAATCAGCGATCGTCTGTTCTAAGTGGGACAGGCACTCGAGTCATTCTGACTCTGCTTGTGAGGCCTAATAGATGGTTCATTGCGGTTAGTCTAATCCTATACGAATTCCGTACACAGAGTGTATCTGTGGTTTACGCTTAGAGGGTTACACCGAACTAGCACTGGCGTATTATATTCCAAATAGCTTCACTGTAGCGATATTTGTATTTTTAAAATTTAGAATTTGATTTTATCACCCTGATTTAGCGCCCTGTAGGCACATGCAATTGGCTTAAAACCTATCTATTTATTTACATAGGAGGATACCTCTCTGTGCAAACCTCCCCAGCTTTGTTATTTATATCTTGAATTTGTAACTTTTCCTTCAGGAAGCACGAATAAACTGTACTGACCTCTTTATGTACTAATCACGTCCCCTTTATCGAACCCGACCTTGTGCCAGTCCTGTCATGTTCTCTGAGTAGCATTTCGACTGCATTTGTCATGCGGAATTGTTCTGTCCAACCATAACTATGAATCCATTGTGTGATCCTTTCAATGTTGATAGGATTGTTTTTTAAAATTGATTTTGATTTCATTTAGCCCGATTAAGCACCCTATAGGTCCAAGCAGGTGACTATCTTCATTGTTTACAAAAGAGGAAACCAATTCGGTGAGCCCCCCCTGATCATACCTGTTTATATTGCTAACTTACATTGGAACTTGTCCCTCGCTGTCCATGAGAGCAAAGTTTAAAGTTGAACAATCGGAACTTCAAAAATCTAGCTGGTATTTTAGATATAGATTCTAGGGGTTCTCTTTAGTCGTTGCCTCAGTTATGACTATAATACAAGTCTAATCTATTGCTATCAATTTGTTTAGTTAACCTTCGTGAAGTGCTGTTTACACTGTTTACACTGTTTACACAGTGTGGATTCCATTCTCTCCCCTTCTAGAACGATTTTTTTTGGAGGGCAAGACTGAACGCCTGTACGCGGTGTCCTCTACGAACCTGGGAGTGAAATATTCTCCCAGAGCCAAGTTCAGACAAATTTCGTAATATCAAAGAAGTTGGCCCACGAGGCAAAAGTTCAAATTGCTCCACCACGTCGTTTTTTTACTCCCAGCGAGTCCGATTCCTACCTAAGTCTCATCAAGTCTACAAGTACGACCTAGTACATCCTCATCCCAATGACCACACCTCTCTTCAACCTTCTCTAGCCTCTGCTGACCACCAAATACACGCCCATGACGACATTCACAACAGCCGGAGGAAGCAAAGCGTGGCGCACAAATCTGAGAGACAGTTCTTTGGGATGGACGTGAGAGAGACTAGGACAAGTTTACAAGATGATGCAAAGGAGGAATTAATCTCGAAGACCGTGAAATTACGAAGTTTAGCAATGAGTCTTACGTCTTGAGCTTTGTGCGCGCCAAGACTTCGCTTGCGAGAGTGCAGCTGACACTATAAAAACAAGCCGACGATGGAAGGTGGTGTGACCCGCCTCCTGGTGATGTTCTCTGGTATAGTTTGAGTAGCCTGGGCACCTACTCCACTTGAGAAGGAGACATCTCAGATTACATTTCGCGCGGAGAAAATTTGAAAGATGATGGAGGCATGTCTGGATAACACAGGGTTTTTAAGATGTTCGCCTGGGTGGGTATTCACGGATGAGGGTTGAGTTGGGGTGAAGAAAAAGCCACCATAACTTCGCAGTGGTACTCGCAAATGAAATCTGAGGCATAAGTGCTCTTCCCTTACGTTGAATCATCTTTTCTGTACTTCTCTTTGATATTGTGACATAGCTAGATAGCTGCACACGCAATTAAAATCTGATGTCTTGGCGCACGCACAAAGCTAAGTTCGTAAAAGTCATTGTCAAAACTTCCAAATTTTGCGCCCGGCGAGATTATAGCCATTCTCTACATCATCTTGTGAACTTCTACCGATTCCTTTCACGCTTTGTTACCTCTACAGGGTGTGGATTTCGGCGTTGGCGTGTATTTAGTGGTCTGCTGATGTCAGAGAAGGTCGACGAGATGTGTGGTCATTGAATGGAGGACGTACTAATTCGTAACTGTAAACTTGACAAGGTCTTGGTGGGGGTTCGATCTCATGGGGTGGGAGAAATTGAATAGGTGAAGAGTATTGAATCATTGCCTCGAGGGCCAACTTGATCGGTTTTGCAAAATTTGAATGAACCTGGCTCTGGGAGACTAGTTCACTTCCAGGATCGTGTGTTCATATACCTACAGAAAAGTTTTTTTTTTAATTCATGTTGTATTCAGCTAAAAAGCTTTGACAACACAGAAAAGTATTGTATCTGTGTGTTTATTGTACTACTTGAGTCTAAGACTACCTATCACACTGAACTCCTCTCTGGCTCAGGCCACGCCTTGTACAGTGCTCCTATCCTCTTTTGTTTCTTGAAAGATCATTGATACATTGCCCTTGATGAATAGCCATTCAGCTCAGTGACTACCCGTGGAATTCGGCCATCTTTTCCACAGAACCTTCTACCTAAAAAATATAAAAATAAAAAGGGTCTCAATGGAATCTGCGTGCGCGGGAAAAAGTCTCAAAAAACCTGCAGCCTCAGCCAGGCGACGCCTAGACATCGAGAACACATTAGGTGCGCACATTCATCTATATCTCCCTTCTTTGTAAGAGACGAGGCCATCTTGGTCCAATCCAAACACCTTATTGGGTGCTGGGTACGCTCCGGAAACTCATCGGATGGAATTTTCTCCATTATCAATGGTGGATCATGAGTAGGGCTTCGACCCTGCCATCTGATATGATCGTGGCTAGCTTCATGATAGTGGTAATAGGGGGATGTGTTGAGAGATGAAGACGAAACAGACCGCGAAAGCGATTGGAAACCCTCATCAAAGTGAGGACAGAGGTGTCAGGAAAAGAAAAAAGCCGGGCGCTCTAGACTCATGCGTGCCTTAGAGAAGCACTTTGTCTATCTATCCTCGGTCCAAGTGCTTCTTTCTTCCACGCATCGGGACGGGTAGAAGATTGTGTTTATGTTGTTTGATAATTTTAGTCGTCTCTCATCTGTAGTAGATTTGGCGTTATGAATTGGGGGGGAAGCAGTAGAGTTAGGGTCCGGCACGGTGTAAGGTTACAAGGCTGAATCGTCAGCCTCGTATACTTTTCTTATAGTGTACCATAGTTGTAGACTGAATAAACAACATCATCTTGACCCAATTTACTTTTGTTATCTGATCAGATACCGAAACCCGGCCTATGCAACAGTTTAGATTTCGGAATTTCACGCTTTTTCCGTAGTTTAGCTCGGCCAGATACTGTCGTGTGTAGACATAAATCGTCGACTGTACTTGTTGTATCATCACCACTATATATCATTGATGGGAGGAACATCATTAACTGGTTTCTAGAAATCTAGTTGAGATCCTAAACACACAACTGAGACTAGGAGAATTTTAATGAGTACGCAGTTATTCTTATGAATCTAGCTCTGGAGGAACGCAACCTGGTTGCTTGGCTCGAGGTATATGAACCTGAGCCTATCATGTATAATAAACTATTAAAAATGGATCTTAATCACAATCATCATCATCATCATCCTTCATATCACCGTCATAAGATGCAAAGGACAGTTTCACCATTTCATTAGAGAAACCTGAGCTTCATTTTTCTAAACGTATAGCCGGCAAAGACGAATTCTTCACCTTCCAGTGGTGCTGGTGTAATCGCTCAGTAAGCTCTGCATATCTGGGACAGCCAAGAAGAATCGCATCCTTCGCAACGGCAGCTTGCTGAGCGTGGCCCAGTCGATTTCTATTGATACATGGGCTAGGTTCTGTTCCCGGCACGTTAGATCAAAAGTTTAAGTTTGGGTCTCTTCTATTCAGTCTTCTAATTACTTCCCGATTGAGTTTGACTGGGAGGACTTTACGACTCACCAACAACCATCCAAAATCAAAGGCAAAATTCCTTTCGCTTTCAACCTTTCTAACATTGTGTGCAGGACTAGGCAATGGCTCAGCCTCATTTTAGACAAGCACCTCGACCGCGACATCAACATTCTCAACTTTTCGACACAGTCCAAAGACGGCGCGAGCGAAGAAGCCTCACTCAGACAACGAACAATGTACGACAAAAGCTGGGGCTCCGATGCCTCGGTTTTGAGCTCTCGATTTCGGAATTTCAGCCCTCTCAAATGGGGGTTGAGCGCAATGCAGGGGAGAATTTGGGAAGAACAATATGTGATTTTCAACAGGCTGTTGGCACAGTTGGTCGGGTGTTGGATGTGCTTTCTAGAAGTGGTAGGTTGGATTCCTACACGGCCTGTTAAAGGGGGGACTACGGCTGCTCGTCGTGAAAGAGTACAGGAGGAATTATTGAGGTTTTCCCACGAAGGTTTTCCCTCGATACATGGTCTTAGGATCATGGTGAATGCGTTGCTACCTATTCGACCCGATGTAACTAGCGTGAGGCACGTATTTGGAAAAGTTAGGCACCGGAAGGGCTTTGCTGGAGAATGGAGGAACTTGTATTCTAGATGTCCTCCATGCGTGTCATGTCCATTGGATGGAGGGTGTAAGCCTGGCACGATAAATATAATCATCATCATCATTTCTAAACGTATACATTTTTGCAGTTTTCTAGCCGTGATACATGATCAGTACTATATCTATATGTAGGATAACTCATGTCATGTTAGAGCCACCCATACTCTGTACTTGGTTCTCCAATACCACTGAAGTCAGCCCTTCTCTATTATTCCCCACCAAGTGAGGGGCCAGAGCTACTGACATAACAATAATACTTTGGTCTATTGCGTACGCGAGCTTGGACTAGTTATTCATAGACTTTAGTAGCTCACTTATCGAAAGCTCACGTACACAGGCCTTCCGTTTAATCTAGTAAATTCATGCTGGACTCGAACCGGCTTCCTCCTGTCTTAAGTGGAATAAGTGACAAAGCTAGGAAACCTGGAATTTGGAGATAGGCCTAGATAATGTATCCCCGCACCTTCCACACTTGGCGTACTTCATAGTGTCGCCCGCGCTCCCGCGAACGAGGTCATCTAGCGCGATACCTATTTTGAAAATTTCCTTGTTGAAATAAAGATCTCATCCATTTAGCAATATTGTCTACTATTTGCATCATCTTGCTCAGATGTCCAATCTCACGCCCATACCAAAGATATGCCTTTCAGATTTGTGCACCACAATCTATCCCCGGCGGTACTCATAATCTTGTGGGCGTGTATGTGGAGGCCATTTGAGGCCAGGGACTGGTCTAATTAGTCGTGTAGCCATGTGAACGAGTATGTAATAGGCCATCCGCGTGAATTAAATTGTGTGTTGATAGGGATCGATCTCGCTAGGAGTGGGATACTTATTCTATGGAAGGGCTTGAGGCACTGGCTCGAGAGCCAAACTCTTCAATATTGTCAATTTTAGCTGAACTTGGAGCTGCAAATATATTTTACTCTCAGATTCGTGTGGGATATCGCGGACGGGTATTGAATCTTTATTAACCCTCTTAAATCATTATAAATGAAGTAGCAGAAGTTGTAAAATCTTCTGTGAAGCCTCAATTTTGAGGACGCAAAATGACGAATAATGGGACTATATAGTGTATACAGTGCGACCAAGATTCATCTGCGTTTTCGATTTGTACATAAGAGTTGATACAGTAACGAAAGATAGCGGTACAACTTCAAATTTGAAATGTAGATCATAAAATGAAACGGCCCCGAGATGGAACACCCGAGGTCGAGATTAACGACAGATCATTTGTTGTTAGAGCCCACGTACGAACTTTGTTGAAAACATAACGTTATCACGTAGTCCAGAGTATTCTTGTGTGTATCATAAATTAGATACCGCGAAACATTGAGGGTCGTTGTTTCGACCAAAACCGTGTGTAGCATCGAAATTTATAGGTTGCAGAAAGCCTTCCAAGGTCACATGATAAACAGATATACAGGGGCATTGATTGGTGGCTGTACTTGCCACTCAACGACATGCCACTATCGACTTTGTCGTGTGCCAAGCACTGACTATCTACCTCCTAGCAGCTACGAGAATCTAATTCTAACAACGTACTTTAATCTAAATACTGCAGCAAAATGTTGGCACAGAGGATTGCTCAATCCTCGCTACGGAAAAGTATTGAACTCTTTGTCTTGTCCGCACACTCATTCGGACTGTCTCTGCCTCTCATGTAGCAATGCTGACAGCTTCTCACCCAGCCGCATCAACCAGTTGTTCCTCGCTGCCTATTCGCACTCTAATACCAAAGAGAGCTACGACTTTCAGCCTATCTATGCAGACACGGTACGTTCCTCTCTACAAGAACCTCATATACTTGTAGCAAATTCAGATCCCCGCATTAACTCGACTAACGTCAATGTTTACTCTTAGGCTCGCTGCCACTCAAATTATAAAGCCATCTGAAAACAATGAAATATTAATTTCCCAAAGAAAAAACCGACCCACTTCTCCCCATCTAGCTATCTATCGACCGCAAATCACCTGGTATTTATCAGCACTTAATCGCATCACTGGTTGTGCTGTCTCTGGTGGATTTTATCTCTTCGGCCTTGCATATCTAGTCTCACCCGTGCTCGGCTGGAATTTAGGTAGTGCCTCTTTAGTCGCAGCCTTTGGCGCCTTACCTTTGGCAGCAAAGGTTATTCTGAAGAGTTTGGTTGCTTTACCATTCACATTCCATTCCTTTAACGGATTGAGGCATCTGACCTGGGATATGGGCGTTGCTTTTACGAATCAGGCAGTCATAAAATCTGGCTGGACTGTGGTTGGACTCAGTCTAGCTAGTGCGTTTGGTTTGGTAGCTTATGTCTGAGCGTTTTTTATTTACAATAATAGCAAAGAAACTTGACATGATCGATAGTCGTGATCATTGAATGATTAGATTAATACGATGAAAATAAGCTAGGCTCAATAATCCTATACAAAATGAACCGTTTAACATTTCGATTCTACGTCAAGGTAGAGTCGTATGGTTTCCCGTACTTGCCAAAAACCCTGTCCTTTTTTCGCACTGGCTAGACCTATATCACAGGCGGTGGGAAGGTCGCCCAGCCTCTCATGACTTCTTGTTGTTCTTCTGGATCCAACGGAAATCTGCCTTCATCTACAGCTTTTTGTGTCTTTGCTGCGATTACGCGAATCGCATCAATGTAATTGGCAGGCGTGAAGGTATTGAGAAAGGATACCTTTTCATCGAATGGATTGTCGAAATTGTGAATAGCATTGGGGGGCACGACAATGTAGTCGCCGGCTTGGACAATCCGGGAAGTTATAGTTCTAGCACCAACACCTAAGTTATCTTGTGGGCCAGGGCTAGAGGTGAAGAAACGGAGTTGGCCTTCGAGAATGTAAAAGGTCGAATCGTTGAGGCGATGCCACATGGGGATGGGCCCTATGAATTTGTTATTTCTTGGGTACGAGAGACAAACTCTAGATGAAATCTTTTGCAGACATTTAATAGATTAAGGATTGATGGTTGCAGTAGATACCCAGACGTCGGAAATAAAAACAAATAGACTGATGTTTTTCTTCATACGAATAAAGACTTACCAGGTACTTTGGGGCCTAGGGTCACGGAGACGATTCCAATTCTATTCTGGGTATGGCTTCCATCCTCGAGCACATAGATAGTTGCCGGCCCGACCTCAATGATTTCGCGCTTCGGATCATCGTGATTCACAAAGCTCACTTCAGCCTCCTTCGCCTGATAGTTCGATTGCTCGTCGGTACCAGCCGGTACTGGCTGGAGCTGCATGATGGGATAACTACCAAATGCGCCTACAAGCAGCGGGGCAATTGAATATGGTGGAGTCTCTTAGATGGTAAGTTGAGAGGTCTACTGAAGCCATCCTCATCGCCATATCAGTCAGAGTGATGCTCACTGTTGAGAAGCGGAGGCAGTCATGGTTATAAAATTATCTGCACCTCTCCACGAATGACGCGTTGCGATGAAAGCCTTGTTATGCGCGGTCCTTGGCCACTTTACCCCGCGACCGTCGTTTCCTGTGGAAAGCATTAATTTTATACTTTTCGCCCCAAACTCGTCCTCTTCTAGGATGTGAGTCCTGGTTAGTATTTAACTTGTATGGGGAGCGAAGGTGAGTCTAGCAAGATCCAATTCTAAGGACATGGTCAAGGTCTGATACCCCTTCCAGACATGAGAAGACTAAGAAAACAAGTGAGAGCAGATCTGTTATTTATCAAGAATTTTTAAAAATTTTGATACCTTTTGAACGGAATCCTCATGTGCTCACGAGCTGCTTTTCCTACTTAAAAGTCACAACCAAACATGACTGTCCTTCCTGATAAATATTCACCTCGTGCAATATCCTCTACTCTATGGTTAGCGAATGACACTACTTCTTTAATGGCTACAAAGTCCTAGTATTGATTTATCAGAGTTATAAAATATACAATCTTGACTGCGCCCCAAAATTAAAACTAGCCATCAATAAGAGCTTTGTTGAGAGCTAATGTAGCTTTATCAATACAATCGTATGAGCCAACTTCAGATACTGGTCTCGCATTTCCAGTATAATTGAAACTGCTCGGGACAATAAATCTTTCCAAATCAAGATTTACAAGAGGAGCACGACCTGCTTTAGACGCAATCTTTGAGAATGCTCTACGCTTCTTCATCGCATTATTTTCACTGCGGAGGTAATGTTGGACTCGAGCGGCATTAAGCGCAATATCGTTGTTAGGTGGTATATTTTCCTTCCCCTTTGCATCAACATCTTCTACGTTTCCTTTCTCGTCAGTACTGCAGCAAGAATCGCATGTATCTTGATCTATTATATTTGTTTCTAGCATGGTATCGTCATCTTGGTAAATATCAAAGTACTGGAGTTTTTTCTTCTTAGTCGATCGAGGAGTAGGATTACCACCGATGCGCATTTGGTTCGAAGTAGAGGTCATGAGCATGTCAATACGGGGAGAGTATGGCTTATCCATATTTTTATTTGCCTTCGCATAATTCTTGCACTCAGGGCTATTTATGGTGTGTTCAACTCGTGGGGAATTAGGCGCCAATAGTTTTTGACTGGACATGGAATGTTGAGAAGGAATTTTTGGTCCAGGGAATGTGATTTGGGCTGTTGGTGTTCTTGGGAAATGAATGAAAGATGAATTGAGGCCCTTCAAATCTTCTCTGCTTGGAGTACCAAGATGTTTATATCGTTTTGGGGAGAGGGAAATGCGTGGCTTGCCATTCCCCACACCGTCAACTTCAGGTTCTGTTATTTTGCGTTTGAGAGGAGAAGAGATCTGAAGAGCTAATAGAAAGGAATTAAGATCCGTTTTCTTATGATAATTAGTCTAGAGAGAGTATAAAAGCGTACCATTCTGTCGGTCATTCAGACTTTCCAATTCTTGGAGGTATGCGCCATTTGAAGGAGTGAAAGGGCATCTTGCACCTACCCATTGAGTGGCCATCACAAATGCAATGCAGCGGTGTACCGCTTAAAAGAATGCATTTAGTTGATGACTGAGGGATCGGAATTGGTTTGTGGGACAAGACTAGTCACTTTTAACCCAAAATCCATTATTGAGTTGGTTGACGCGATGTTCGATATTTGGTCTGGGCACGCACATCATACCATGAAAGATAGACTGTAGTGCTATCATCATCCCTGTCAGGGTATGACTAGCGCGAGAGTTCTGGCTCATACTTATCTATCATGCTCTTCTCAAGCGTATTTGAGTGGTACAATATCCAACATTATGAGTTGGCTCTGGGGTCGACAAGGCCAAGATCAAAGTAAAAAAGATGCTTTTCAAAAACTCGACTCAGATCTGAAAGATTTTTTGAAGAAAGAATCGCCCATCACGAACAAAGTACCTTCTCACTCGCCAATATCTACACTAGCCCCTACATCTGCGCCTTCACGTATAGAACAATCCTCTACTCCCAAACAAGAGGAGACCACTCCTAAAAAATGCCCGACACTTTTTCAAGATGGACGTTATGAGTATCTGTGGAAAACATATCAAAGTCCGGAGGAGGTGGAATACCATATCAAGTCTGACCAGGAGAAGATCGATGAGGTACTCGAGGGCTTCAAGTATCGCCGGAATGAGATCGCCAAGGCAGCTCTAGAAAATTGCGCACTGGAACAAGCTGCTGTTAGTGATTGCTGGAGCAGTGGAGGCGCTGTGGCGCGCCTAACTCTATGTCGCGCGGAGAGCAAGGCACTCAATCGGTGCCATGTAATGCAATCTGTATGATACTACACATTGATAATCCCATAATCAGTGAAAATAATATTCTAATCAGAGTAGAAATTTCTGAAAGCCCTTGGATACCTTTCAAGCTTTGATCGCCCCTCCGAAGTTGATGAACAAATTCAGATGCATGCAGATTCTTTGTACCATCGTATGCTCGAACAAGAACAAGCTATGGACGTAGCTAGGTCAGAAGGAAAGCCAGTACCCTCGTTTCCGCCTCTATTATCACAAAAGCCAATTGTTGATTGGAAACCAGAATCTGAAGCCATACGAAAAGATGTCGATGACGCTCATCTTCAGCCTTCTGACCTGAAAGAATCTATCCGCAGTAAGATAAAAGAGAGATTAGAAGGTCTGACGCCAGCAGAAAGAGAAGTTGAGGAACGAGCTATCCAGGCGGAAATTCGTGCGGGCGAGCAGTTAAGTGGGAACCTTACTAGCATTTATGAGAAACAGAATGAAGAGAGAAGACTTCGAAAAGAGAGGGGAAAGGAAACATTGGGCGACAAGGTTTCTTCTATATTTGGGATCAGTGGTCGATAATAAACTTGCTTGTGGCAGCGTAGACAAGATGATATCAACTAGTTAGTAAACCCATAATGCGCAAATTACTATCAGTAAATGTTTCAAGTCTACCAACGACATGCCGCACCATTCTTAAACAAATATGGGCTTATTCCTCGGGGTTCTTACACTAGTCCATCTGGTGGGATCTAGGGCTGGATTCAGCGTGAAAGAAGGCACAACAGGGTCAGCAGACCATATAACCGTCGGTATAATCCTTCCTGCTAAAAGATTGTTAGTGTTTATGGAGTTATGAACGTTAGTGTAGATTACCATATTGATCACTAAGAAAATGCATGACATGTGGAGCAGTTGCATTGGACGTCAAATTAAAAAATTGTCATCCAATTCTAAAGGCATGAAATAACCTGTGCGTTCCACCTCACTTGTGCAGAATACGCGTGCAGCTCAGACTCGGATACCCAAACTTCAAAAGTGCCAGGTAATTTGTACACTCGTAAAGCGGCAAGAATCCAAGAATGTTACAGATGAGACAACAGGCAGAAAACTGGCTATCTATAGAAACTCTTAAGACACGTAGGACTCTGTATTACGCTGTAAATGTTGACTAGAGCTCTCTAGTGCTACGGATGAAATCTATTTAGTGATAGGAAGGTCATGTGGCCTGACTAGCTTAGTTTACATGAGTAGGTGAAACTCTGCCCCTAGACAGAAACATACCCTCAAGTATCCACCGGAACCTTAGTAGGGCCCAAAGCAGTATTGCAGCTCAGATAAGAAGTGAGCATATTGGTCTCAATTCTTATCTGTATCGAAGGAAAGTTCCCGGAGTGATTAATCCAAAATGTCAGTGTGGATATCCGTCTCAAAATGTCAAACATATGGTCTTGGCGTATCCTCAGTGGGCAATGGGAAGAGGAGAGGTGCCTCGAAAGGCAAAAGATAGGTCCATTACGGCAATGATGAACAGCCAAGATGATGTGGAAAAAATCACAAAATGGATCCTGGCAAAAGGCTGGTTTGAACAATTCTGGCTTGCAGGAGAAGTAGAAATAGCATCGGACGAAAAGATAAGACGATGTGAACAAGGATAGGACGGAATTCACAGCGTATGAACAGTGTAAACGCACTTCCTGTAGGAAACCTCAGAAATCCAATAGACACGAGATAGTCAGTTTTAGAGGTTTCTACCGAATTGGTTCACTATTGTGTAACTTTTAAAGCTAGATATACCTGAACGGACTAAATGAAATCAAATCAAAATGTTTCAATATGGTCTCAGGGAATATTAACAGGTCGCGCCTAAATTAATCCGATGAAATATACTAGTATCTTAGGGGCCAGCTACGTTCTCAACACGCAATGTCTAATCCCTGGTCGCAACATCGAACTTTGGAGAATCACTGAGACAGTCCTCGACAATATCTAAGGACTCTAGAAGAACAATTTTACATAGATTTGTTCGCAGGAATCTTGCCAATAATCACAAAGTGAGAGGATGGCAGAGAAGTAGCCTTGGAAATGTGTGATAAATTGACTAAGGGAGAGTAATCGGAGTAGTTACAGCGAGCTCTATCTACATGGGACGAGGGACTATTCTCAATACCTGTCAGTGGTGACCCCTACGAGCCTCTAGCTCTCACTGTAGAGTCTGCAGAGCCGAGATTGAGTAACACCTTATCAACTTTGAGCTGAGTTATCTCCCCCTCCGTCAAAGATACGCTTCCGATAACACATAAGACGACCAAGGCGACGATCATGATGCTGGGAATGAGGAGAGATAATGCGGTACCAAATGCTACAACGGTAGTCAGAGAAATCCTCGTTATATTACAACATGTGCTACCCACCGGCCGGCAAACAAAAAGTCCACTACAGCAAAGTAAAAGACCCTTCCGCCCTCAAGAAAAGCAGATTTCGACTCGTCAAAAATATCGTCCCTACTAATCATAACTTCCAAATCTACTAGCCAGGAGGGCATCTGAAATACACGAGTTACTCGACAACCCCACGTCCGTGTCGATTTTTGGATGCTAGGCTAGGCTCCTTCACGACAGTCGCTCTCGACCAAGACTTTTCTGATATCTTTTCACGACCTTCGATTTGTCCTGCGGCATGAATCAAGGGAGGAGTAAGGAGGAGGCTAGGAAGGTTGAGAGACGCTCTTAGGTATACATAGGTCTGCTGCGGCCGGCTGGCCGGCCTCTTCGTCATGGGAGAGCCCCGCACCCAGTATTTTTTGAGACTTTTCCCAGCAGCTACACACCCGCAAATGGCCATCGTTTCGTTGGCTGGAGAGGTGAGATAATGACGGGATAACGGCTCCTCTTAGTGTGTACTCGAATGAAGACCTGTGGAGGTATTACTGCTAGAAATAAGTCGTAAAGGAGGTATAGATCCTCCCGGCCTTTAGGCAGATAGGACCTACAAGTCCTTACGCAGTCGTAGACTCATCAGGACATAAACACTCACACACATTTCGCGCGCTCAAGTCGTTGCATGGGGTATTTGCTGAGTAATGCCAAAACTAGATTGGCATTCATGTCACGTGTAAGTGTTTTATGTTCAAGCACCATGACTGCCCTGCTCATTGCACGTAGGGAGCCATGAGGGCGTATGTCGAATAAATAAGAGGCAGGGACAAGGGCCGAAAGCAGTCTAGCGATGCAAATATGAAGTGAGCACATGGGGCTTAACTCGTATTTATGTAGAAGAAAAGTACCCGGAGTATTAAGTCGAAGCCGTCCATGTGGCTACCATTCGCAGAACCCCGAGCACACGATTTTGTCCTGCCCTCGATGGTCAAATGGAATAGAGAGACCTGGAGACAAGCCAAAGATTGGTCCTACGAAGTAATGATAAACAATCCTAGAGACATCAAGAGGATAACACAGTGGATCCTAAATCATGTCTAGATAGAGCAATTACAGATGACAAAGGCGGTCGAAATACTGCTGAGGGAATGGAACAGGTCAAGTAATGCATGGGCGGTTAGAGGTGGTCTGGTTAGTTTACATGGATGGCACTATAGTGTAACTGCGCTTCCTGAAGAAAATACGTGAAAACTAAAGTCAACAAGCAGAAAGGTGTGGGAGGTTTTCACCATAAAGTTCTCTCCCGGCTAAATATTATAGATTGTAGAAAGCTGCATGGGCCCATAGGGCGCCAAATCAGGATAATGGAATAAAATTCAAGAGGCAGGGAGAAGTTTTTCGGTTATTTGGTTTAAGAAAATAATGATTTTGTTGGTATAGCAAAGGTCATGCACTAAAAGTCTATTAGTTCACTTAAAGTTATGAGTACTCATGTGAGTAGTTCGAACTATTGTTCAGAAGAAATGCGAATTTAAAGTTATTCGTGTTGTTCTGAGTTGATGCTATGGAATTGCTGACTAGCTTACAATCGGATAAAGCACTATCCGAATGTCAGAATCCACAAATCAGGAGAACTAGCCGCTGCGATGCAACAATCACCGGCTGCAAATAACTCTAGCTACATAAATCATTCCGACAGATTTATTGCATATCTAGACATTTACTCGTCTTACATGAGTGGTATTCAAGTTAGATGACTATCATTTTTTATGCCAGGGATAGTCAAGCCCTTAATGTTGTGTTATCCATGCAACTTACCATGGTACATGCTTTAGGTCGCGTCATAGCATATGCACGTGACTGTGGAACTAAACCGTGGGGTGTTTAGTGTGTAATGCATGTGTGGGTATTATGGACCAAACTGGAACTCGATGGAATAGAGATAATGGAATCAGCGAGAGATTGATAGACTGAGAGAGAACGAGCTGGTTATTTCTCGTAGGAGATAAACGATATCACAAGGGAATGTTCTAGCACTAGGCTGTGAACAACACAGTAGGTCTGGAGCAAGATATAAGGAGGTCTCAACCTCGGCCCACTAATTGAAATCAAGCTTCCTTTATATGAGAACATAGATACAAGTCTTACATATCACGAGAACACACGCGATAGCGATTAACGATATCTACTGTGAGCATAACTTCCCCAAGTGTATCCATCGTCCTGCTCCTATTTAATCTAGTTAATATAACGCTTAAAATTGTGTAAAAATACAATTTTAGAGTATGTATGCGTCGACGCATCAGTCTTTTGCGCGCGCTAAATTTATTTATATTGATTGAGAGTTCATTTACAAGTTTTCAGCATATGTAATTCCCTTTTTACGCGCGCTCTTTCATTAGGCTTGCCATCATGTTCATTCACTCTATTTATGCGCGCGCTTCACAGTAGACATTCTTGAGGTTGTAATTTTCGGGAGATTGACAAAGAAAACTTTTCTTACTCAATCAGGACAACTCAATAAAGACTGATAGGCCGAGCAGAAATCATACGATGAATGATAAATGGTTCGCTTGCATATAAGCTAGTGAGGGGAGTATTGAAGAGGACAGACAATTCAATCCACTTCAAACATTTCTCTCAGTATCTCTGTGCCATTCAATAGTATGCCTCCTCAATCCCGCCAAGCCTCGCAATGGAGAATCGACGCAAGGAAACTTTACAAAGAAGTATGGTGTTTTATTGTACTACTTGAGTCTATGACTATCTAGCACATTGGGCTCCTCTCTGTCCCAGGCCACACCTTGTTGAGTGCTCCTATCATCTTAAGTTACTTGAAAGATCATTGCTATATTCCCCTTGATGAATAGCCATTCAGCTCAGTATTTATCTGTAGAATTCAACCACCTTATGCACGGAACCTTCTACCAAAAGAATAGAAAGAAAAATGATAGCAATGGAAACTGCGTGCGCGGGAAAAAGTCTCAAAAAACCTGCAGCCCCAAACATTTGAGGACTAGACATCGGGTCCACATGAGATACGCATATTCATCTAAATCTCTCTTCTTTGTGTTAGTCGAGACCGACTTGATCCAATCCACATTCCTTATTGTGTGCTGGGTACGCTCCAGAGACTCACCGGACGGCTTTTCCTCCATGATCAAGGGTTGGGATGAGTAGGGCTCCGGCCCTTCCATCTGATAT